CAGTCTTCTGGGTTAAATAATATGTAATTAGGCTTGAATATTAGCCTTTCAAGAGTTGACAGGGAAATGAAATCGCATTAGACTTCTAACCCCTGCAACTCTAGTACGGGACATCCGTCCTGTACGAACAGACACACAAACGTGTGATTACTAACTACTAACATCAAATTAATCTAATAATTCGAAGGAGGAGTATCGGTGTTCGTCTGTTCTAAATAGGACTTCGACCCGTGAGCAGCCCCCTGGGGAATTATGTCGGAAAATCCGACACCATATAATATCATACAGACAGATAAGAGCTGTGTTGTATAAACAAGTTACCCATAGAAAACGTAACTTGTAGTGGAATTACCGTCTATAGAAAACGGGATATCATCACCACATACTATTATAATTCACCACCTATTATGGTGGGAATTATTCTTAAATACATTAGTCTTTGGACTTTACCATCATAAAACATCTTATATAAATTAACTTAATTATCAAGTTAAAGTAGAGTAAATGTGACCCTTCTATCACTTTCTGAAATCTGGACAAAGTAGGCCAGGCGTCAGGCAGGAAGGAGGCAGCATTGTTGTGTCACCTCCGAGACGTGTGGAGCAAATACGGCTCCTATCATATCTGGACAATGTCGGCCAGTAACGTCAATAGTATGGAGTGTTAAACAGCCATTGTTATTACGAGACCAGAGGCTCACACGGGAGCAAATTCGGCTCCTGTTAATTTTACTTGGACGTAGTGTTATGGAAACCAAAGGTACCCTCTCCAACACGATGTCTACAATTCAAGTTAAGTGTTCTTTCCGAAACCCATGTATCTTTCATTTATGGCCATTAATGTCATTATATAGGGTGACCCGGTTAGAGCACGTGGAAGCCTCAAATTAAAGGTAATTAAGCCAGGTCTTTATTGTTCCATGTACTGTATAGTGTTTTCTCTGATATAGCTTGTCATATATAGGATTCTGGCTTCACAGCTAGCGCACTTTTGACAGGTCAAGATGAGGATGCAAGACTTTGTGCACCAGTTACTGGGTGATGGAAGCTACCTCAAAGAGGATAATTTGGTGTCTACACCCTAGTTATACCTGGTGGACTAACCTGCTGTACTATAAGATAAGGAACCTCTTCAATGTTTAATAGTATGTAGTCTATTACTGTAGTTTGATTGGCTGCATATATATAATTTAATAAACCCCCCCTAATGTGTAGAGGATCGATTTGTGAGATTATGAGATTATTGCAGAAATACAGTCCACTTAACATTATACAAATTGCTATCGAAGTATATAAATTAACGTAAATATAAATTCATATAAATTAAAAAATATAAATCTCACAGGTCGGTTCCCACATTATTTGGACCTTCGGAACCGGAATATTCGGTCCTTTGAACCCACATTTGGTCATCTTAGTACCGGATGAACCAGTTAACCAGTGGATTCATTAAATATACTAGTGCAGTGTGATTTAAACAAAGCCAGCAGTCATGACGGCAGCGTAGCCTCGAGGGAGCTCAGGAGCCTCCCTCAGCCCAGTTCAGCTTCGTCAGCGGTTTCATGCACACCCACAGATATTTGGTGGCGTGTTATTTCGTGAAATGACAGCGCTAATATAGAAGCCAGCCAAATTAGTGGCTGGGGTCTTCGTGAGATTGTTCACGGATTTCGTGGTGTTACATTTCGCGAGAGATTATCTACGAATTTTGTGGAGTTTATTTCGCGAGGTCACTAATAATATTTAATACTTCTAGATAATATTAGAAGTTTCATAGAGGCTAATTAAGAGGCTATTATCAATAATTGTGTATATTATTTCTCCAAATAGAGAATCATTTAATATATATTGCACTAGTGATCACAGTATATTTACTAATTGCCAACCCACAACAGGGTAGGATATGACTAGTTGAACTATTATCGTTCATCCTAGTCCCATTATTACCATAGTCAGTTGTACTATATTGATTAACCTAGCACCATTAATGAATGGTCCAGACCCTATTTTGGGTGTAATTTTTATCAACTCGAGTTGAGTTGTATATATAATAATTTACTTATGATCATTACACCTTTGAGTGATTAATTAGTGTCTCTACCATCCTAGGGTGATATAGAAGAGCTAACCTAAAGGTACTTCCAGTGACACTGGTTTATCACTCAAATCATTAGTGTGTATGATTGTATATATATAATGTGTATTAATTTTAAGTGCTAACCTCTAGTAGAGGTAGGATTATTGCCTAGTGAGTGCAGAATTTACCCTAGGCTATCATTAGTGTTTGTTCAGTATTATGAGCAGCCCAAGTACAAGTCCCACAAGGCTTCACCAACTAGCCAGTATGGATAATGCAGGGAGAATGAAAAGAACCCTTGCAGGTCTTAAAGGCCACTTAACAAGACAGATCAAGAAATGTGAAGATTTGTCACAACAATCTCAAATTGATTATGCTGACCTGGAAAGCTATTATCAAGCAGCTGCAGGTAAATTTGAGCAAATCAAATGCCAAATGGCTGTCCTTGTGGGGACAGACTACTACCATCAATTCATTGGTAGCCCTACTAAATATCAGGGTATAACCATGTTAAACTCTGCAGGAGGTAAATTACTCTCAGGCCCAGTATCAAGCCTGAGGAGACCTATGCCTGCAGATAAACAATACCAATAGACACTAAATTTGTCAGCTGATTATATTTCTCCAGTAGCATTATACTAAGGAGATTACAGCTGACTATGCCAACAGAGGTTGATGTTAGTATCATCATTTAAAGCTGAAGATGAGTTCATGAGGCCTCAGTGGCAAATCAGTGAACAGGCCTAAAACAGCTACAAGTCACTGCGACCAATGTCACTGAACCCACTGCAGTCTCAGAACCATACTTTACTTTAATGATGAGCTATTCAATCTTCTGAATCAATTAACTAAATTAAACCCCAATAAATCTGATGACTGATTTGATACATTTATTATTTAATCAAGATGTATTCCATGGGCCTCAGTGTTTATATATCAGTGACCAGTTACCTGAAGAAACTTCAAGTTATATCTAATGTCACTGATATCACTGCAGTCCCTGAATCATACTTGACTGTAGTACTTGATCACATCCAGTCTTCTGGGTTAAATAATATGTAATTAGGCTTGAATATTAGCCTTTCAAGAGTTGACAGGGAAATGAAATCGCATTAGACTTCTAACCCCTGCAACTCTAGTACGGGACATCCGTCCTGTACGAACAGACACACAAACGTGTGATTACTAACTACTAACATCAAATTAATCTAATAATTCGAAGGAGGAGTATCGGTGTTCGTCTGTTCTAAATAGGACTTCGACCCGTGAGCAGCCCCCTGGGGAATTATGTCGGAAAATCCGACACCATATAATATCATACAGACAGATAAGAGCTGTGTTGTATAAACAAGTTACCCATAGAAAACGTAACTTGTAGTGGAATTACCGTCTATAGAAAACGGGATATCATCACCACATACTATTATAATTCACCACCTATTATGGTGGGAATTATTCTTAAATACATTAGTCTTTGGACTTTACCATCATAAAACATCTTATATAAATTAACTTAATTATCAAGTTAAAGTAGAGTAAATGTGACCCTTCTATCACTTTCTGAAATCTGGACAAAGTAGGCCAGGCGTCAGGCAGGAAGGAGGCAGCATTGTTGTGTCACCTCCGAGACGTGTGGAGCAAATACGGCTCCTATCATATCTGGACAATGTCGGCCAGTAACGTCAATAGTATGGAGTGTTAAACAGCCATTGTTATTACGAGACCAGAGGCTCACACGGGAGCAAATTCGGCTCCTGTTAATTTTACTTGGACGTAGTGTTATGGAAACCAAAGGTACCCTCTCCAACACGATGTCTACAATTCAAGTTAAGTGTTCTTTCCGAAACCCATGTATCTTTCATTTATGGCCATTAATGTCATTATATAGGGTGACCCGGTTAGAGCACGTGGAAGCCTCAAACTAAAGGTAATTAAGCCAGGTCTTTATTGTTCCATGTACTGTATAGTGTTTTCTCTGATATAGCTTGTCATATATAGGATTCTGGCTTCACAGCTAGCGCACTTTTGACAGGTCAAGATGAGGATGCAAGACTTTGTGCACCAGTTACTGGGTGATGGAAGCTACCTCAAAGAGGATAATTTGGTGTCTACACCCTAGTTATACCTGGTGGACTAACCTGCTGTACTATAAGATAAGGAACCTCTTCAATGTTTAATAGTATGTAGTCTATTACTGTAGTTTGATTGGCTGCATATATATAATTTAATAAACCCCCCCTAATGTGTAGAGGATCGATTTGTGAGATTGAGATTATTGCAGAAATACAGTCCACTTATCATTATACAAATTGCTATCGAAGTATATAAATTAACGTAAATATAAATTCATATAAATTAAATAAATATAAATCTCACAGGTCGGTTCCCACAATGCTCTATTAGGAGGACGGGTTGATGTGCGTGCGCAGCCTGTCTTCCTAAGGTGTCCTAATGTCAAGAAACTGTCGTACTAAAGTCCAATCTCCTAACCTACCAGAAGACTCAAAACAGAAAACAAAACAGTATGTACATTTCGCGAGCCGCTACCATTTTCTAGTACGACAATTTTTGGCCTTACGAAAGAATGTATCAAACCGCGACGTTGTATTAAGACAGGCTGGTGTGTGTGTGTAATTACTTAAGGGTTTTGGCCTCCACCGCCTTCTCACCTAACTTGTTCCAACCGTCTACCATTCTGTTTACAAAAGTGAATTTTCTTATATTTCTTCGGCATATTTTTTTTTAGTTAGTTTAAATCTATGACCTCTTGTTCTCGAAGTTCCAGGTCTAAGGGGTATGTGTGCGCGTGTGTGTATTCACCTAGTTGTGCTTGTGGGGGTTGAGCTCTGCTCTTTCGGCCCGCCTCTCAACTGTTTACTAACTACTTTTGTGTGTGTGTGTGTGTGTGTGTGAACTGTACTTACGTGCAAGGAGCGTCTCTGCAGGAAGCGTTGGTTTGAGGGTGAATGATCGTTTCAACGAAGAATGTTTGCCAGAACCTGTTGGGGAAGGAGAGTGCATGTTATTCCTACTTACACCTGCCCCATCACACTTTCCTCCATTTCCTAAATAATATATATATATATATATATATATATATATATATATATATATATATATATATATATATATGAATGAAAACTCACACCCCAGAAGTGACTCGAACCCATACTCCCAGGAGCAACGCAACTGGTAACTACAGGGCGCCTTAATCCACTTGACCATCACGGCCGTCAAAAGGAAGTGATAGCCAAGGCTATTTGAGCCACTTCCCCGACGGCAACTCGGATGGTAATCTTGGGCATAGCATTTCACCAAATCACCTCATTCTTTGGGGCACACGTGAGGAACACAAATGCGAACAAGCCTGAATGGTCCCCAGGACTATATATACCATTCAGGCTTGTTCGCATTTGTGTTCCTCACGTGTGCCCCAAAGAATGAGGTGATTTGGTGAAATGCTATGCCCAAGATTACCATCTGAGTTGCCGTCGGGGAAGTGGCTCAAATAGCCTTGGCTATCACTTCCTTTTGACGGCCGTGATGGTCAAGTGGATTAAGGCGCCCTGTAGTTACCAGTTGCATTGCTCCTGGGAGTATGGGTTCGAGTCACTTCTGGGGTGTGAGTTTTCATTCGCATATAGTCCTGGGGACCATTCAGGCTTGTTCGCATATATATATATATATATATATATATATATATATATATATATATATATATATATATATATGTGTGTGTGTGTGTGTGTGTGTGTGTGTGTGTGTATATCACGAAAATAAACACGTGATTAAAAATGTGACAGTGTCAGACCACGGAGGAAAATTGATACAGGAACTGAGCATAAATAGGTAGGAGAGAATGGTGGAGTGAGGTGAGGTACAATACGTGGACACTGCAGAGGGCCTATTGGCTCATGCAATGCAGCAACCACACAGGCCCACACATGCATAATTATAGCATAAAATAGTAAATATTTACAATGAATTAGTGAGACAAATGTGTTCCAATGATCCTACTTAAATCGCCCTTTAATTGATCTATTAAAAATATTTTAAATATAAATTAAATAAATATAAAATTGATATAACTTAGATCCATTTATATATATATATATATATATATATATATATATATATATATATATATATATATATATATATGTGTATATCACGAAAATAAACACGTGATTTAAAAATGTGACAGTGTCAGACCACGGAGGAAATTAGAAATATATATATATATTTCATTATATATATACTCGGCGCCTGGGGTAAAAGTGCTACCAGTTTTTTGAAGGAACTGGGTTCTAGGCTCATTGAAACAACAAGGGACCCAAGAGCTGCAAGCTTTCTTTTCCAGCGCCTCAGTGTGGCGATACAGAGGGGAAATGCGCACTGCATCCAGGGTTCCTGCCCGCCATCTGAGGAGCTGGAGGAACTCGACAACCTATGACAATCATCTTTGTAACCCATATGTAACTCCTTTTTTGTAACAAAGTTCAAATAAAGTAAATATATATATATATATATATATATATATATATATATATATATATATATATATATATATATATATATATATATATATATATATTTCTAATTCAAATTTTTGAAAAACAAAATTAACAAAACTTAAAAAATTGTTGATGTGAATTGTAAAAAATTTCAAAGCCATTAATACTATCAGCGTTTCTTGCATATTTTAACATAAGAACAGATGACACTGTAGAAGGCCTCCTATACATATCTCCCAAACTCACTCATATATATGTATAATCTGCAACCCATCCTCCGTATTGACTGTACGTTAAATACTTAGGGTATTAAGTACACTCACTGTCATACATAGTACATAATTGCACTTATGGGGATGTTATATTTACCTCTCCAATAATTTTCCTCGTTTTCTGTTAAGTCACTCAGAATTTTAAGATAAAGTTTTCAAGATTAATTTTCAAATACACAAGTTTTAAATATCAGGAATTTCTTTTTCAGTTTTATTAAATAATAGAGATTTTATACAAATTTTGAAAATATCCTGAGTGACTTTATAATTTATTGAAATATTTTAGTTTTGTTTTATTTGTTTTATAAAACTGTAATATCAATATAGCTATAGGTTAAATAGTAATTGTAATTAAGAAGCAATAAAATGCTTATCTTCAAAATCTAAGAAGGTTTGGTTAGGTTAGGTCGTGGGTTTCTATGCAACTTTTCAGGTAAACTCAACTATTCACAATATATTTGACAGTACGGTTTAATACTAAATAAAAATACGTACAATTCCTGACTGCTAGGAATAGTACATAATTACACTTACTTGTGCTGTTACATTTACCTCCCCATTTTTGGAGGACGGGCTTCCATTTTATAGTACGACAATTTTTGGCTTTATGTAACACATTGGAACGAAAAGCGACGTACTTTGTAGGACAGTTTGAGGGAACACCCCTAACGTACAGAGTACCATAACCATCTCACCAGCGATAGCCTCGCAGTTTTATAGGGGTACAACCTCTGGTAGTGTTGAAAGAAGTGTTGACATAACTGGTAGTCTTAGTCTGGTATTGTTGATATAACATAAAAATAGGATGAAAGACGTTTAAAAAAAAAATCGGATTTCTTTTAATGTTAAGATTCAGATGTTTGCATAAAAACTCACTCTGTTCTATGTAGAGTTGACGACATCCTTACCCTTCCTCGTCAACTCATTGCTCTGACACGTGAAAATGTAAAGGAAGTTCCACACATCACTCACAGTGGATAATCAAATAGCTCATAGGATAATCAAACAATTGTTACAGGTGTACATATATGAGGCATTTACAAAGTTATAGTAAAAACACATCATAACAGAGAACAACATTGATGAGACTGCAGTACAGTATACATTACACAAATGATTTAATAAACCCCATTATTAGCTTATGCACATTTGATTATAAAACATTACAAGTGCGTTATGTACCAAAACTGTTATGAACAGTACCTTGTATGTATTTTAGTTAAAAGTATACCATATACACAGATAAACACAGAAAAATAAATTTCATAAATTAAACAATTACTGACATACACAAAACACATAAAATTACATAAATATATACAAAATTATTACATAAAAATATTGCATAAAGAACTAATCATTTGGATTATTACTGTTAAGTGGAATAATAATAGGAGTTTATTATCTTTAGTCACATAACTATAATTAGGTTGATGGCCCAGTATAATGAAGTGGCATGACGTTTGATGACAGGTGTTCTGAGATGATAATGATGTGCTGGGAGTTAGGGAGGTGTGCTACCTGGAAGATCCTGGCGAGGCTTAAAGAGGCAGTTGAATGCTGTTTTGGCAAGAGTTCTCTCCCACTGAGACCTTGTATTACAGGGAGCAATGATGGGTTGAAACCTTTCCTCTACTGTATCACCATCAAAGGTCTCTAAGGTTTTGTTGGGTACAGATCTCTCCTCAATCTCATCATCAACGGTCTCTATGGTTTCGTTGGGTCCAGATCTCTCCTCTATCTCACCATCAAAGGTCTCTTTGGTTTCGTTGGGTCCAGATCTCTCCTCTATCTAAGGTCTTTATGCTTTCCTTCGATTGAGACCTCTTTCTTCTCTCATATTTAAAGGTGCCTTTGATTTTACTGGGTTGAGAAGTTTTCTGTTTCTCATATTTAAAGGTCTGTATAGTGTCACTGTCATCAGGAGTCTCCTTTACATGAACATAAATTGTCTCTGTGGTTTCAATGGGTCGTGTATACTTGTCCAAAATGTCTGGGTGACCAAACGCTAGAGAATGATGAGGACTTAAAACATAACGTTTGTCATCAAACAAATATAATTCCAAGTTTTGATCCATCAGAAGTGCAGTTTTGTTCAGCTTCATTAGGTATTAATCTACTTTTAAAATCATTAGAGACTCGACCGAATATGTCTTTTTTTAAATTTATCATGAGTTAGTGCTGATTTATAATGAAATGGTAAGTCTTTGGTTCTGTCTGACTGCTGCTCTGATTGCACCATCATGGAAAACATTTTAGGTTTTAATGCCACAACTTCAGAAATGAGTCTTTCACCTGTCACAGATTTCAAACGCCCTGGGACCCCTTTAAAACTGTCATCAAACAGTGGGTGATCTTTGGAAAATTTTGAGTAGTCCATGCAAGACTTGAGAGGTTCCGATCCTAGCTCATTATAGACATCTTCACACTCGAGTGTGAAGATATAGCTGCTAGTGTCTGTATGCACCAACTGTGCTCTTTTGCCATAGTGTGCCTTGACCACATTGTACCAAAATTCATACAGCATTTTTGAAGCCGTCTGAAGAATATGGAAATGAATATATGTGGGCTGATCAATGAGATGTTTCTTCATACTCTTTGTACAAATCATCCGATCCTGACTTACAGGTGTAACCCATTTTGTACAAGGATTACGAGCAAACTTTAAAAATTTGTTTTCATTTGTAACGAAATCGTGGCAATCAGAGTATTTGTTTATGTTCATTAATGACTTATCAAAGACTAGACTATTTACATAATTTAAGGCCGAACATTTTTCTTTATCAGTGGCTTCAATCGATCAATCTATCCGTCTATTCACCTTTCCATCTATCCATCGATCAAACCAGGTATCCATCCATCTATCCGTCCATATATACAGCGATCCATCTTTCAATTTATCGTTCTATCCATCCATTTGTGCAACCGTCTATCCATCAATATATATCCATCCATCCAACCAACCCCAATGCAGGTCACACAAAACGACCTAAAAAGCCCACAAATCGAAGAGCAAGGAGCTGGCAAACCAGGTGAGCTCTCCCACCACCCCCCCATCAAAGGAAAGATCCTTAAAAGGGCCGGCACAAGCCACAGCAAGCATGGGCTGTCTGCAGAGTGAGCACAGCACCGACTAGCAGAAGACGATGAACTGGCCACAGGAGGCACATGTGACTGAATTTGGCTCCACCAAAGGCCTACCCCGACTTACGGTGAAGCTCCAGCCATACTCAACCATCTCCAGGAATGAAAACGAAAATCACGTGAATACAACATCCTTAGGAAAGAGGAGAGGCATATCAAAAATGATGCCGTCCAAAGGATGATTGTCTGCTAATCATGAAGACTCTGGAACCTCCAGAAAGATGGTTCTGCCAGGCCTAACAGCACATGGAAATGAACCGGGGAGGGGGGAGGGAACTACAAACACAGCAAAATCATACAAGGAAGAGAGGATACAAGAACATCTTCCCCTGAAGCAAAAGGCTCACATCCGAAGGGATGAAGACCCAATCGGGATTCAAGAAAACACAAGGTCCATTATCTGACAACCCCAAAGCCCGAAACCAAATACGATGGTCAGGGAGCAGAGCTGGCACCCACATCCACTGCCTGGGATACAAAAGCGGGGCCCAAGGGAGAGGCTGGATGGAAGAAAAACCCCAAAGCCCCAATGGGACCAGCCGGCTCAACAGCTTCTACACCCTAATTAGAGAGATAGTTGAGCCACATCTCACACATCCCTGCCCGAACTGGGAAACCCTTGGACGTTACGAGGCCAGAGGCTGAGGGATAAATCAGAAGTAGGGCAAACCTCACCAAAACGGAAAGAAAAGGGTGTGGACAGCTCCAGGGCATCCAAACAGGCACATAACCCAGACTGCTGAAGGTGGGCAAAACGAATCCGGACAGTGGAAGCTGCCTGATACTCTTGAATATTACCATTAGAGTTCAACAAAGAGCTAAGCCAACACGGCTTGGGTCACATGGCTCTGAGGGCCGACCTCAGTGTGCCATATGTACAAGCACTCGAGTCACCAGTGTGCCATATGTTCAGGCACTCTAGCCACCAGTACGCCCCAACCAGCCAACACTCGTTCCTGACCTGGGCAAAGAGTTCGTTCGGCGGGTTGTGACAGGCTTCGGTCTCCTTGAACTCAGCAATGGTCTGTATTGGTTCGCCGATTATCTGGATGCCTTTCCCGGTGAGGTGGCAGAGGGTCACCTGGTCCCTGCACCTCTGTGAGAAGGGCCAAGTTTAGGGCGAATACAACTCTACGACTGATGCAGTCTAGTAGCTGGGAGACATTTCACCATCAGGGAGCCACATGGGACTTTCCCCTCCCCCGACAAAAATACAAACATCTTTGTACAAAAATATGGTGAACAATAAGTTTATTAATTTGTTGATGACAAAAAGTGTTGTACATGACTTAAAATAAATTATCAACTTTGTAACACATAAAATGATAAAATATGTTAAGTTTTTGTTTAATTGTGTGTGTAATTACCTAAGTGTAGTTACAGGATGAGAGCTACGCTCGTGGTGTCCCGTCTACCCAGCACATACACACTATGTGTGTGTGTGTTCACCTAGTTGTGCTTGCAGGGGTTGAGCTCTGGCTCTTTCGGCCCGCCTCTTACTGTCAATCAACTTTTTTTTCACCCCCTTCCCAGGAAGCAGCCTGTAACAGCTGTCTAACTCCCAGGTACCTATTTGCTGCTAGAGGAACAGGAGAATCAGGGTGAAAGAACCTATGTCCATTTGTTTCCGCCATCGCCGGGGATCGATCCTCGGTCCCTAGGATTATGAACCCCAAGCGCTGTCCACTCAACTACCAGGCCCTCTTTTATATATATATATATATATATATATATATATATATATATATATATATATATATATATATATATATATTGTGACAATAATCTCTTTCAAGAGAGATTGAGCCTGCTCTTCTCTACATAAAGTTACTTATATATACAACAATAAGATGCTACCTTCAAGATACGTCTACCAGTAGCACAAAACGTTTTGACCAGGAGGCAAACGTACCCAAAACTCGCCCCTACTCCACACTCCCTCCATGCCGGCTCCGTCATCAACCAGCAAACTACCATTCCCAGCCTGCCTGCTTCTGATTGGTGACCCGCCGACTGCACACCTGCACCTCTGCACCTCAGCGCCCTCTACTTAGTCGATGTCTGGGCTTGAACCAGTCATTGAAGTTAGAATATCTTGTGCTCTCAAACTGCAAACAACTAACTGATATACGCTCTTTCTATCAGGTAGATGTTTCTCAGTTAGCGCTTTATTCTCAGCACCTGTTTAATCACTTTTCTGTCTTTATATTATAGAGTAACGTCATTCCTGTTCTTAATTTTTATGTTATATTTTTTTACTTTGTTTGCACTGTACATAGCCAAGGGCTTCTTTTGTTCATAATTTGTTTTCAATATTAATTAAAGTTTCATTGTTCATACTGTGTGTTTTGCATGTCTTCCCTTAATTTACCATAGACAACAGCCAATCAGTCTATCTTTTTTTTGTAAATGTGACTAGGCATTGACACCAGCCATTAGGAGGACTGCCGAACATCTACACTTTCCCGTCACAATATATATATGTGTTCACCTAATTGTGTTTTGCGGGGGTTGAGCTTTGCTCTTTCGGCCCACCTCTCAACTGTCAATCAACTGTTTACTACTTTTTTTCTTCACACCCCAGGAAGCAGCCCGTAACAGGTAACTAACTCCCAGGTACTTATTTACTGCTAGGTAACAGGGGCATTCAGGGTGAAAGAAACTTTGCCCATTTGTTTCTGCCTCGTGCAAGAATCGAACCCGCGCCACAGAATTAAGAGTCCTGCGCGCTATCCATCAGGCTACGAGGCCCCCGTGTATGTGTGTACTCACCTATTTGTGCTTGCGGGGGTTGAGTTTTGGCTCTTTGGTCCCGCCTCTCAACTGTCAATCAACTGGTGTACAGATTCCTGAGCCTACTGGGCTCTGTCATATCTGCATTTGAAAGTGTGTATGGAATCAGCCTCCACCACATCACTGCCTAATGCATTCCATCTGTTAACTACTCTGACACTGAAAAAGTTCTTTCTAACGTCCCTGTGGCTCATGTGGGTACTCAGTTTCCACCTGTGTCCCCTTGTTCGCGTACCACCAGTGTTGAATAGTTTATCCTTGTCTACCCGGTCGATTCCCCTGAGGATTTTGTAGGTAGCGATCACGTCTCCCCTTACTGTTCTGTCTTCCAGTGTCGTAAGGTGTATTTCCCGCAGCCTTTCCTCGTAACTCGTGCCTCGTGTAACTGTGTGTGTGTGTATTCACCTAGTTGTGCTTGCGGTGGTTGAACTCTACTCTTTCAGTCCGCCTGTCAATCAACTGTTACTAACTACTGTACTAATTTTTTACACACAAACACACACACATACACACACCAGGAAGCAGCCCATAACAGCTGGCTAACTCCCAGGTACCTATTTACTGTTAGGTAACAGGGGGCATCAGGGGTGAAAGAAACTCTGCCCATTTGTCTCTGCCGGCGCGGGAATCGAACCCAGGCCACAGGATTACGAATACAGCGCGCTATCCATTCAGCTACCAGACCCCTAAAGGGGTCGAGTGTGCGCGTGCGTGCGTCCATACGTGTGCGTGTGAACTGTACTTACGTGCAATAAATAGTTCTGCAGGAGACGTTTGTTCGCATGATCGTTTCATAGCGGAGTGTTTGCCAGAACCTGTTGGGAGGAGAGTGCATGTTCATGCATACGTGTACCTGCGCCATCATTCTTTCCGCCATTTCCTAAAACATGCAGATGTTGCTGCATGTATTCTCGAATTTAAAGAGCATACGTTGTAGTAAGTTAAATTTTTTGCCTGGTAGAATTTGTTATAAAAGTAAATAAAGAGTTGATCCAAACTTTGTTTACGTCAGAAAAAGAAATTAAACGTTCCACTCGAGCGGCACAGTATCCCTTCGCCCCCCCCCCTCTCAAACACATACGCCTCTAAAATAAATACTTTTCTTAAAAATGTCAGACCACAAACAAGTCATTTATTTAAGAAAGTCCATTTAATTTATACTTTACAATTAATTTAACATGTATTTTTTTTAGCATAAGATATACACATAACTTCTAGAGTTTATATTTCACAGTATCCACACACACACCATGTTGCGGTACAGTCGACTAGAGCGCGTGTGGGAACACTCAGTCCATAGGTTCGAACCCTAATCAAGGCCCTTGTGGATTTGTTCTTTTACAGTAACTGATTTATAATATCGTCCATAAATTGAGGTGATGACAAATACCTCCTCGGTAACGTGTCCGTCACGTGAAGATCCGCGCAGTTACAGCGACACTCAAGTACAGCCATGTTGTGCATAATCATGCTATTTCAGGCCACCACATCCCAAGCCAAGAGCTGTGTCTGAACTCCTGGTACATGGTCCACGCTCCCCAGTGGTCCAACACAGGCAATACATGACGTCACTACGCTTCTAACTAAGGATGAGTTAAGAAGCTTGAACCATGTGACTGTCGACGTAATAGAACTGCGTCCGAAGCATTGTAAACAGCCTTTAGACATACGCATTTTGCCGCATGCCAAGAGCTACACTATGTCCTCCGTGCCCACATGCTTTCAAACTTCGTTTTGCGTAAACAACTTGCCCCTCTTGCTTTCGGTAATAATTTGCCTTGCTACTATGCAAAACCCGCTTAATGAAGTCTAAACAAGTACTAAGTACGCAGACGACAGGCCAGGCTCTACAGGTTCAAGACGCGATGTATGGCGGCGCCTCGGCCAGCCTGCAGATCCCCACATGGGACTCATATTGGCAGCAATAAATCTTGATGGTATCGATGAGAGCGCGCACCCCTCACTGGATGATCTCCATGGCAACCAGCGCCAGGCTGCCCCGACCAACCATCCGGATGCGTCACCAGATTGCAGTCCAGTCTACATGCTAATTTGTTTGTGACTTTCTCTCACAGTACCATTGTCGGTACATAATGGTATTACACGACTAACAAAGACATTGACTTAGTCTACGTCTTCAAGAGAAAACTAGATGCTGTAGTTCTCTTTAAGAAGTGCCGGACCAACCGGGCTGTGGTGGATATGTGGGCCTGCGGGCCGCTCCAAGCAACAGCCTGTTGGACCAAGCTCTCACAAACCAAGCCTGGTCTCAGGCCTGGCTTGGGGAGTAGAAGAACTCCC